TAGCTCCCATACAACTGATTGTTCAGATATGAGATTTTTCGTTATAACTTCTCCACTTATGCAGCTACGAACATGAAATTTTGCAGTACTTGCACCCATTATCAACATAATACTTACAATCATGGGCGTAGCCAGGTAGGGGCAGGGGGGTGCTCGAGCCCCCCCCCTAACTTTCAAATTTTCCTTATATATATATAAAAGAGTACCCTGAAATGCCAGCTTAATAGGGTCGAGCCCCTCCCCCCCATTCTGGCTACGCCGATGCTTACAATTTAGTGTTTTGCCGGCTCGAGGTCAATTTTAAAAATTCTTTTATGAAAACACAAGTTTTTTGGTGTTTATTTCCGATATATTTCGATTACGCTTCGGTAACTGTCCTCAGGGCAACTATTGACAAACATGTAAAACATTAAATATACGTAAACACAAATTCCAAAAACAATAATTAAAAACAAAATGTATACATACATTAATTTACACGTCCGCACTGTTTGCAGCGTTGCCATTTTAGCCGTTTTCCGGCTAGATTTAGCCGGTTTTGATAGCAACTAGCCGGAGAAAATTCGATCTAGCCGGCAGCCGATTTGTTAGCCGGTTTGTAAAAAAAAGTTAGCCGTTTTTAGCCGATTTTACTATTTGCCTAATTTTCAGGTGCAAAAAGTAGACAAGTTGTTCGAAAGCAATAATGCAGACCCAATGAAGATTTTCAATGAACTCAATGCTTTACTTTCGCATCTATGCTCCCTAGTGGTTATTAGCGCGGACACATTTGATCCTATATGCTCCCCGTTGGAGCCATACCTTGCTCCATTTCCTCAGTTTTATCACAGTTTTGAAGAGTATTTAAAAACAAAAGTAAGCACAAACGCTTTTGACCACGAAGCCGAGAAAATAATTCGAGAAAATGGTCGATATTTTATTATCACTTTAATAAAGGAATACGCCAACGCTTCCCTACAAATATTGCCACACTAAAAAAAATTGACTTTTGTCGGTTGGAAATGCATTAAGAGTAATTAAACCAAAAGTATTTGTTCAACTACAGCAACAAAAGCACAAATATAATGCCGACGAAATAACATCCATAGAGATGCAATGGCAACGGTTAACGTTACATACCTGGAGTAATTTAGACTCAACTGTAAAATTTTGGGCCGGAGTTTATCAATTTCGAAATGCCCTAGGAGAAAACCCTTTTGCTGACCTTTCCAACCTAGTTTTTAGTTTTCTTGTTTTGCCTATAAGTAATGCAGAAGTAGAGCGAATATTTAGTTCAATGAATATAATAAAAACTAAGCAAAGAAATCCAATGTGCGTTAAAACGTTAAACGCTATTTTATATATAAGATACGGTTTAAAACGTGAAGAAAAATGCTGCCATAATGTTACTGTAGATGGCGATCTCTTAAAATTATTGAATTCAGGGGATATATACAATAGTGATTCATTTGATGATGAGGAATATACACTCGATATAAATTAATGGTGTTAACTAGTCTTTCGTTTCCTGCGATTTATTTAAATAAAGCATGTGAATTTTCACTAAAACATTTTAGCCGTTTTTTGCCAGAGTCTATATGAAATTTCACTAAAACATTTTAGCCGTTTTTAGCCGCTTTTTTTTGACAATCTAGCCGGTCGGCCCAAAAAGTTCTGGCAACACTGACTGTTTGGCGTGGAGTTTGGTACTGTCGATTTGTTTGTAAGCAAGTGTCTGTACAAGCAGTGTTGCCAGAGGAAGTGGTCGAAAAATCTTCATTTTTGTCAAAAAAAATCTTCATTTGAAGATTTTAATGAAAACAAAATCTTCTTCACAGCCAAAAATCTTCACTTCCCATGAACCCATGAAAATGAAATGATATTGGTATATTTTCAAGTTTTTATAATTTAAATCGTATACTTATCAGATACAAATGTATAAACGTATGTATGGATTTCATATGTACTAATGTATGCATATATAAAAATAAAAGAGCTAAACTAGCTAGATTGTTACGTGTTTAAATTAGTTTCCATACTGTAAAAATAAACAATATATTAAAAAAAAAAGAAAACGACCGATTTATGTATACATATTCACGTAGAAAATGACTTAATCTATCAATTAGAGTATATGTCGTTTTTAATATATGAAAGCAAATTAATATCAAATGGCATATTGTGGCAATTGATCTGGCTTCTTTTTAAATAATCTTTTGTATATAAAATTCCGTTTAATGTTTCCACATCTAGTTTGTTTCTAATCGATGTTTTGTTTAAATTGACTTGGGAAAATATTCTCTCGACGTTAGCCGTTGATACAGGTACTGTTAAAACAGACCAAATTAATTTTTGTAATAATGGAAAGGAAGGCGAGTCATCCATTCTTTTGTACAGTACTTTTTCGAAAACGTAGT